GCTAGAGCTTTGGGCACTGGAAGCCCATGCTCCTACTTTGGGGTAGGCATCCTTCACTATTTTATGGAAGGAATCCATGCTGTCAAGAATTATAACAGGTAAACAGTACAAACTTTTAATATACCACCTAACCCTCAGTATTAACTTGCATAATAATTATGCAACCAAATATAGAATGTATTTGGTTTATTTTTCTAAGTATTATTTCTTTTCCTGAAGCTATGTGAGAATCTTGGTATATAATGTCTACTCACATAGAAATAGTTCATAACTGACGTGAGTTCAGTAATTGTAACCAACAACTTTGTCTATTGTCCTGGCTAGTTTTATGTCAACTTAATATGAGCTAGAGTCATCTGAAAGGAGGGAACCTCAATTTAAATAAAAAAGCCTCCACACTATCCAACTATTAGTCATTTTCTTAATTAGTGATTGATGAAGGAGGGCCTAGCCCATTGTGGGTGGTGCCATCCCAGTGTCCTGAGTTCTACTAGAAAGCATGCTGAGCAAACCATGATAAGCAAACCAGTAAACAGTACCCCTCCTTGTCCTCTGCATAGGCTCTGCCTCCAGGTTCCTGTCCTGATTGAGTTCCTGTTCTGACTTCCTCCAGTGATGAACTGTGATGTGGAAACATAAGTGGAATAAACCCTTCCCTCCTCAACAAGATTTTTGGTCATGGTGTTTCATCACAGCGAGGATAACTCTAACTGGGACATTTATCTAATTTTTTCTTTCACATTTCATCTTTCTTTTTCTTTTCTACCCTCTCCTTTTCCCCCTCCCTTTCTCCTCATTCTCTCCTTCTTTTCTTACCTTTCCTCTTCAGCAAAGGGATTGAACCTAGGGTTTCACTTGTGCTAGACAAGCGCTCGGATGCTGAGCTAGAACCCAAGCCTCTGGCTAAAGTTTTCAGAGTAATTTCTCATATAAACAAAATGTAAAAACTGTCATTCACCACCTGATATGCATGTTTTGTAACTTATTGGTGGGTCTAGAAAAAACAGGTGAGGAGTTTCACCAGTTCTTGCACCAGTCAGAAGAAAGAATGAAGGCATTTTTGGTTCTGTCTTTGCCAAGATTACTGCTGTGTGTGTTAATTGCTTCATTTCCCAAGTCTACTTTAATGTCAATATTGATATCTATATAACATAACCACACAGGGGTATGAGGTTAAAGATAACACAATGTGAGATCTGAGAAAAAATACCTATGGAAGCATAGTTTATTATGACTAAGAAATTTCCACAGTCTTTAAGTCCTCCAAAGGCCCCAGGCTTGGTTTGGTTTGGTGCCAGAGTATGTCACGTTGACAGCCAACAATCAAGGCTTATCTCACCTTTTTTTTTTAAACAGAAGTAAGCCTCCTGGCGTACTAAACCTGCATGTTACATCACCACACCACCACAGGGGTTTGATGAGCTTCCATTGATTCAAGCCAGCACTCGATATGAAATGACAGCTGCTGGACTGATAAAGGAAGATCAGTGATCTTTGCCTTGGTAAAAGAAAAAAAAAAGAATGAGACCAATTAATTTCTCTCTCTTAACCAACTGAGTGGCACTCTCTTATCTTGGTCTTATTAACTTTCTGTCCATTAAGCTCTAAAAGATATTAAGAAATATTTGAGGAAAATAATGAAAATCTAAAATCACATTAACAGATTTTCCTGGTTGGTTTTCAATTGTCAACTTGACCCAACTCAGAGTCACTGGGGAACAGGGCCTCTCATTTGAGGGATTGCACATGTCAGATTGGCCTGTGGCCTTGTCTGTGTGTTAGACTGACTGATGATTGATGCGCGAGAGCCCTTTACCTTCTTAGTCCTTACTGTCAGCTTGATGCAACCAAGAGTCACCTGGGAAGAGGGCATCACAACTGAAAGATTGCACAGGTTAGATTGGCCAGTGACCTTGTCTGCAAGAGACTGAAGATTGATGTGGGAGACACCAGTCCACCTAGGGAGGCACCATCCCTATGCAGGTAGTTCTGGGCTTTATAAGAAAACCGGTGGCCGGGTTTTGGTGGCTCATGCGTTTAATCCCAGCACTCAGAAGGCAGAGGCAATTGAATTTCTGTGAGTTTGAGGCCGGCCTGGTCTACAGAATGAGTTCCAGGACAACCTCCAAAGTAATACAGAGAAACCCTGTCTCAAAAACACAAAAGGAAGGAAGGAAGGAAGAAAGAAAGAAAGAAAGCCAGTGAACAAGTTCAAGAAAGATCCAGTAGAAGCATTCATCTATCATTTAAACTTCAGTTTTTGCCTTAGTCCTGCCCCAATTTCCTCAACATTTGTCTATGACCTGGAATTAGAAGCCAAAATAAACCTTTTGATGCTGGAAGTTGCTTTTGATCAGGGCATTTATCACAATAACAGAAGACAAGCAAAAAGTGGATAGATTATTCTCTTTATCACATTATGTGTGCAAGAAACATTTTTTTAATTTTATTTTCCAGTTTAAATTTGGTTAAGAAACAAGGTTGCTTCACAAGTCAGTTCCAGGTCCCTCTCCCATTCCCTCCCTTCTTCCCGAGCCCTCCCCCCCCACAAGAAATATTTTTTAAAGATTCTTTACAATGAAAAAGAAAAAGACTCAAAATCATTGTAAACACTTCAGATAAGCTAAGAAAAGAACCCAGAGAAATGGTGATGGTAAGAGAAGAAGAGATGGACACACGGGGGCTTGTTATTGATGCCAAAGGATTACAGAGGTTTCCTTACAACAGTTACAACAGTGTATTAAATATTGTGAAAAGCAGATGAAGTCCAAGGTGACTGTGTGTTGGTTTACAGTCATGTCAAGAACCCAAAGACCTCAGACTGATAGAATGGCATTGCCTTCATGTTGTTAAAGTATGCATGTTGACAGTATGTGCAGAAAATGTAAACCACAGTCTCCTTCTCCTTACAGAGATGTTCTATAGTCTGAGACCTCTCCCCTACAGAAAATTCTCAGCAAGTTTTGTTAAACCTGCCTCTTCATTCAGCAGTATATAATAGCCCCACCTTCAACTTGGTATGCCAGACTTTGTTGACTTCCCAAGGAAGGTCTTACCCCGTCTGAGGAGTGGAGGAGGGTAGGAAGGGGGTGTGAGAAGGGGAGAAAGGAGGAACTGGCGTTGGTATGTAAAATAAAATATTAAAACAACAACAATAACAATACCCTCATTTCCTTGTTCAGCTGTATACAATAAGCCTGCTCCCTTGATTCAGGTGTAGAAAGTAGCAGGGTTGAGTTGAGTTTCTGGGCTGCTGCTAACATCTCCATTAATGAACACATGGCCCCCACCAGATTGCAGCCTCTCTGCATGTGTGCCTCTGGTCTTGTCATTTCCTCTTTCCCTCTCTACCCCAGTCAAGTCAATCCCTAACTCTGGGCAGAGCATGGCAAAATGAAGCCCTGGGATTAATCCGACTTCATTCAAACTATTTATTTCCTTAAAAATAATAATTTTTTATTTATTGGGATTCACTTGCAAGAATCATTACTTTTATCTCTAGACAAGGGTTTTGTATTTCACGCTATAGTTTCCTTTCAGGTGTGGCATCTGCACAACTCCCTACTTTGCATCTCTTCCCACCATATTTCCCTACAGGGCTGGGGGCACAGTGGGTGAAAGCAACTGGCCATCCAAGCTGGACAACCTTATTGCAGAGCCCCGGGAACCACATAACAGGCAGATGGAGTAGCACAAGTGTCTATTATTCCAGTTTGTTTCCACAAGAAGGAAGGAGGCAAGATAAAGAGTGTTCTGAAGCTCACAAGCCCATGAACCTGCCTCTGCAGTGGCAGAGACCCTGTCTCAAACGAGTAGAAAGGCAAGGACCAACACCCAAAGATTGTCTGACTCCCACACATGTGCTGCGTTATTTATGTGCCCCCCCCACACCTCTATGTTATTCATGTTTTAAGTGACTGCACACTTGAAAGAATGACAAACCCTGTCTTTTCCTTGGAACCTTGAGTTTACTACAGTTACTCATATAAATTCTACTGTCCTTGGCAGTGATAATGTTTTCGAAGAGACATGTTAAAATTTCCTGCTGGTGGTTTTCAAGAAAAGCCTTTCAAGGGGGCCTTCCACTTCTCCTACTTGACGCAGTAGTGTTCACATGGAGAAGACGGTGTATAGACACACCCAGTGAGCAGGCAAAAGCATTCTAGCTCTGGTGAGCAAAAAATGGGAGAAATGGCTCCACTGAACATTATAGACCAAGTGATAGTTAATACTGATTGAAGGCTTAGTAGAATTTAGAATTGCCATGAAAACAAATCTCTTAAGTATGGCTCCGAGGGAACTTCTAGATTAGATTAACAAAAGTGGGAGATTCACCCTAACTGGGGTAGCAATCATTCTGCGGGCTAAGGCTCTGAACTGTATTAAAAGGAGAAAGTGGATCTAGTCCGGGCATTCATCTTTCCCTGCTTCCTGACTGCTGATGTCATGTGACAAGCCATCTGAAGTTCCCATTTCCATGATGGGAACCATTGAATTATGAGCCAAAATGAACACTTCCTTATTTCAATTGCTTTTGTCGGGTGATTTGTTTCAATGATTCATGAATCAATGAGTGCACCCACCTGTGTGTTTCTTGCTATGTGGTTATCAGATATATTTTACTAGAGTTTCTGTTTCTTAAAACAGAATATTCTAAGTGACATATTACATGCTCAAAGTATATGCGGGCTGAGAAAGGCAGATTTAATTGAGGTCAGACTCCACATCAGAAATTCTGCGTCCCTTATTATATTGTTTTTATAAGAATGCAGTGTGAGTCACATGTTCTACATTTAAGCCAGGCTATAATCAAAAGTCTAGAGGTTCCCTGTCCCTCTAAGTGGAATTATGAATCCTTACCTAAATTAGAATGAGTCACTAAGTGTTGCTTCTAGCCTTCATTAATATTACCTCCTGGACTTAAAATTGTTCTCTTATGAATATCAAATTTCTATGGCGCAATGTAGAGCTATATGGATGGGCCATGAAACCAGGCAAACTGTTCAAACTTCAGCACATTTATTGACCAGGTGAAGTAAAACAGATTATTTAGATAGCAGAGTGTGCATTATCACTAATAAAATACAATAATGGTATCTATCTGCAAATGAGTATTTCAAGTAGTACATTAGATAATGCCTAAAAACATCTAGCAAATACCAGGGCTGATTTCGTCAGGTCGCAAATATGTTCTGTTCATAAAATTTTGCTGCTGCAAAATACACAGCCAATTTTTTTAAAAAAGTCACTTCATAGGATTTTATTAGAGAAGACTGCAAAGATATGTTTCTATGCTATCCCTACATGGTGAGGTGAGTGCCCATAATTTTGAAAAATAGCTCAGAGCAATATATATAAGTATATAAATGACCTTCTTTTGAGTTACTTCTAGAAAGCTAAACAGAACAAATTTATAACCCCCCAGGAAACATATGATAAAAGTTACTTATCATGAAGGAGTAGTTAAGTAAACACTGTCATATAGCTGCTTGGGGGAAGGAAGGCAAGTAACATTAGTTAAAAATAGATGAGTGGGATAGTTATCCTTACATTTTGTCCTGCTGCATGGTAACTCTTTAGTGTTGTGTAGTTAAAGGACACTCACCTTGGAATTTTTGAAAAACACAACTTAGATCCAGACCCTTCTCCATTATTTATTTGTCCTACAACAAGGGGCAAGTGGATTGACATCTTTAAATCTCACCTTAATCTTTAAAAGAGGGTGACAATTAGTCACCCTTGCGTCTCTCACAGACTGATTCTAAGAAAGCATAGCTCTAAGCATTCTATATAATATAATATTCAGTGTGTAAGGAAATGAAAATATTGATGATCACAAAGGGCAGACCCCAAATTCTGCATTCTGTAGCATGCCCTTTATGGTTGTTTCCTTGATATAAGTATTCATTTCTGATTTTCAAGTGTCAGAAGCAATGGAAAGCTCACTGGATAGCACAGTGAAGGCAGCGAATGGCTGTAGATTCAAGCAGGGTCCTTTGATGATGACGATCTTTGAAGGTTTCCCATCCCTGGAGAGCCCCACTCTGCTCACTGCAGCTGATGGAGTAATGCTACAGGCTTAGTTTGCAATCCTCAGCTGGAGTCACAGTTGAAAACCATTCAATCAAGAAACCAATCAGTCTGTCTAGAAAATAAATGGGTTAGAGAAGAAATGCCAAGATGACTCAGACTCGATTCTGAAAGTGTTTTTAATGGGGGCATTGATTAGGCCTCCACTGAATATTTACTAAAAATAAAAAATAATATTGGCATTACTCTTCGTGGACTTTCTTCCAGATAGCTGTGATGTCTGAGAAACACTTGAAATAGTGCATACAAAAACCATAACTATCAGCATCATGCTTACCTATGATTGCTTCTCTCTTTCCACAAAAGTCTTAAGTAATTCGAGTTGTTTTCCAGGAAGCCAGTATGCACTGGAAATCAGTAAACCAGATACCAGCATTCTATTTTATTATTATAATCATCAGTTTCGGGTTCAAGTCCAGAGTCTCTTTTGCTCATAGAAAGTGTGCATTAAATACTGGTTATGGTCCTAGACAAGTAAAAAAATAAATGATTGAAAATTCAGTTTAAGACAAAATGGGAAGGGGCTGTGCAGAAAGCCAGGGTAACCACCGATTTGCAAAACTATAAATGCTATACAAGAATAAAACCAGGCCAGGAGTACCATAACCATGCACCAATCCTAGAGGAAAATGTGAGAAAGATGATGTCCCAAAAGTACCAGAGAGAAGATTAGAAACACTTGCCTCTTCCCCCATCTTGCTTTTGTAGGCAAGCATCTCAAATCACTAAGATGTGTTACCTTGGTTGGCTGTCCTTCTGTTTACTGAAAACTTTAACATGGTAAGTATGAAAGGGCTGAACCAGTTTGAGGATATTACTACATTTCACAGATAGCTTATAGAAAATATAAACGCCCAGCTTTTCAAGTAAGGGACAAGCTGTTTTACTACGTGACTTTATTATCCCACCTATGGTGAACATGTCTTCCATGTGATTTCACATAAAGAGGCATGTCTTGTTTATCAACTTAGCAGTTACAAAGTTATATGACTACACTCCTCACCTGAGTTTCCTGGATAGTAAATCAAACACTTCCTTTCCATGTATTCCTTGTTCTTCTCATGTTGGTTTATGCTACATATCCTTTTATATTTGGTTGCATTTTTCAGACTGATTTGCATAAAACTAACATTTGTTCACTTGATGTGTTATGAATTTCATCTTATATTTTCTTGGAGATTTTTTTCTACATTTAAGTGACTTTAATGAGCAAATCCCCTTAGCAAATCCCCTTGTCAAAACAAGCAGCAACTTTCTTCAATGCTAGAATTTTCTGGGTTTTTTTGTTTGTTTAAAGAATCCTTCCTTATCCAGAAGACATGAGGTATTCTAGCATTTTTCCCCTAAATGTTTTCAGTAGTAACATTTAAAAACTTAATGCATCTAGAATTGATTTCTAAGCATGTTTTGGTCCCCTTCATTTTATAATCCATGCTTTTTATTTTTAAATGTGTATATATCTGCATCTCTGTGTGTGGATGGCCTGTGTGTGCACACAGAGGCAAGGAAGGAGCATCAGATCCCTTGGAGCTAGAGTTACAGGTGGTTATGAGCTGCCCCTGAGTGCTGGGAACCAAACTCAGGTCCTCTGTAAAAGCACCGATGCTCTTAGCAGCTGAGCCATTCACCATCCCCAACCCATGATTTTTTTTAAATTATGAGACAGTTCTTCAAAGAATCTCAGGTCACATCTAACTGGAACAGTTTCCTGTTTCCTAGTTTTACTTCACAGTATTTTAATAACTGCAACTTTCTTCTTGAAAATGTCTTTTATTTTCTCAGTGATGTTACTCTTCCTCTACCTTTAAATTTTCAGTTGCATAGCCTTCATTGCTTCCTTTCCTGGCCTCCTAAATGGTCTATCCTCAGCTACTCTTCTCCTTATTTAGTCCTTCCCTTTGCCATTCGCATATTCCTACACCCATTCTTCACACCAATGTTCTTAATATACAAACACACAGTAACTCTGCTAGCTGAGTTATTTTTCCCCTACAATGACACATTTTGAATATTTTTTTTTGCTTTTTTTTACTGGATTACCTCTAATGTTCCTGATCTGGACTAAATCTGAATATTGTCTGAAAATACATTATCAGCCATCTCAGGCCATACTGTTCCCTTTTTACTTAGCAACTACTATAGGCTCTGTAGGAAGATGACATCACCCTTACTTTTCACTACCATTTCCAGACTAACTATCTCGCATTTATATAAAATACCATGCACCTTTGAAGAGTGTACATTATTCTGCTGTATGAACCCATATTCTCATTTTAGCTTTATTCAGATTTTCTGATCCTTTCTCGTTTTGTATTAATGAGGCTTCTGTAGAGGAGTGGCTTACTTGATATGGTCTGGGTTGTCCAACAATGTCTGTCTTAATGTTGGAGAGGCTGAGACCCCAGTAGCCATTCAGTATTTAAGGGTAGGTGCCTCAGCAGTCCCAAACTGGTATGAGATCATGGAGGACTTCTGGAGAGGCTCTGTTCTTCAAGGTACACTAGAATTCTGAAGAAAAGGTATATTGCTACTAGTGAAAGAATGTAGCAATGATTGTGGTGGTGGTGAGGGGGCAGAAAGAAGGTAGATGAACCTCTTGGGGGAAGATGAAGGCAATGAGGTCAAAAGCAAAAATTTTCCTTAAAATATGTTTTTGTTCAGACTGCTACAAGAGGGTGATGCTCACAGTTGAGGCAGGTTTGCCCACTTCAAATAATTTGAAAAATAGAATCCTTCACAATTGGTCTATCTCTTAACTGACTCCACATCCAGTCAAGTTGAAACCAAGACTAATCACCATGCCCTTCATTGGCAGTTTTAATATCTGGTACTTTGTCCTCCCTCTTACCACAAGTTCTTTCATCATTAAGCGTGTCATATGTCTACTGGCTATACTTTGAATGTTTGTGTCCCCACTCCCAATGCATCTATTGGAAACTCTAATCCTAAAATGAAGTTATTAAGAGGTAGGGTAAATCCAGAAGGTTATTATTAGATCATGAGGGAGAATACTTCATGCCTGGTATTAATGCTGTAATTAAAGAGGGCTAGGAGAGACTTCCCACTTCTTCCTCCATCACAAACATAGTTAGAAGATGCTATCAATGTAAAAGAAGGTAATTGCTTACCAGACACTGAACATACATGTATCTTGATTATGGGATATGGTACCGTTCCCTCTCTCTGGTATATCCAGTATGTTCTTGGCCTTGGTTTCCCTGTTACAATTTTAACATGCCCATGTGCCATTTTAGTCTCAATTAACCTTGAAAAATGTATATTGTGGCACAAATAAGTCATTTTAAGTCTCTACTGCATGGGTAGTGGTGGACAGTTGGTGTTTGTGGCTGCACCCAGGCATGTAGTCATCTTTCATTCTGAAAACAAAATCAAATTTGTTTGCAAAATGGAGTTTCTAAAGGCAAGGTACAGCCCAAAAAGTCACTGCTTTGTATGATATGAAGTAACTTACAGCAAGACACAGCCTGATGTCAATAATCCTGAAAACTGTGAACTCAGAACAAAATTCATTAACTCCATGTATCTTTAATGTAAGCATAAAGATTATTTATTCTTTTAGAATGGTTGACCTTAATTCCAGAACAAAAATGGTGCTACAATACATTCTCACAGCTTTCAATACCTTCAGTGCAACATTTACTAATGATGTTTTTGTTCATTTTTCAACTGACTCTAAGCATTAAGAAGACAGTAATATCTGTGTTGTTAATAACAGAAAGTAAATGTTGAGTACAAAAAATGGTATACAGTAACAACTTAACAAACATTTATTTAGCAAATCACTTTCAAAACTAAACACTCCACTGGCACCATTCAGCCTTAGTTTAAGACCAAAAATATTATTGTGTGGTCTTTTCAAGCTATCCTCCAGACAGTCCTGCTTCTTCCGGGAATAAACTCCAGTGCCTGCACTCTTACACAGCCATTCTGTCAAACCTACACCATCTGCGTCTTCTGCTCTTACTGTATTATCTTTCTCTCTTCCTAAGTCTCATATGAAGAATACCCATTTCTGTAAAAGTCCTTTTTAATGCCCCCAGAATATTTAGAGTTCTCCCCAATTCACAAATAACTATGAGTATATTTTCTACTATGACAACTATTCTACATTTATTTGTGTTCTCATAAACCTACAAGCTACCTAAGAAGTAACTTTTGGAGTATTTTGTTTTGATACAATGCCTAGCAAATGGCCTGAAGAAACTACAGTCCTAACAAATATTGGGGTGGGCACTAGGGAGCTTTCTCAATAAGTATAGTGTTCACCATGGAAATGTGAAGACCTGTTTCAAATTCCCAGAACCCACATAAATCCAGGCATAAATATCATATCATACATATAATTCCATGGCTCCTACTTTGAGATGGAAGAAACAGGAGAATCTCTAGAAGATCATGGGACAAGTCTAGAGTACACAGCAGAAAGGCTGCAATGAGATACTACTCCAAACAAGACTGAAGGAGATCAACACTGAAGTTCTCTTCTGGCCTCCACATGTGGGCTGTGGCATGTATGTTCTCCCCAACACACTCACATAAACATTACAAATGCACATACACACACACACCTTACATCTACAACACTAACATCAAGATTATCACAACATGCAACTTATTAAAAATTAGATAAATAAAATTTTGACTGAAGGTGAATATGAAATATGAAGGCGTTACAGATATGTATTTAGTTTGGAAACAGGGCCTCTTTCCTTGGTATGCACAGGTGATCAACAGAGGCACTTTCCTCATTTTATCATCAAGAACTGCTTTTTGGGTTCTCAACTAATTATGAGAAAGGATAGAGGGAGGGAGGGAAGGAGGGAGATTGACATTTGTAATAACTGATTAGTACACTTCCTCCCTTCCTCCTAGGATCTACTAAACACTTCACTTGGCAGTTAATAGTGTGATGGGTCTTGGAAAGTCTTCAAATACTAATCATTCTTCTTCAGAGTCATACAGTACTGGACAACCCAGTATTACTTTTTACTACCATAGCCCCCACATTTGACAAGTGATGCTCATCTATGAAGTACCCGAACTTGAAGGATTGCTGTGAGGATGAAATGAATTAAAATTCATAAAGCACCTAAAGCAAGATGGGCTACATAAATGCTTGTCATAATACAAGCCATTATTTTATTAATCCACTAGGCAAAATTCAGGAACAAATCTTAATGTTAAAACATATACTTCGATCCAACACAAAAATGACTGTGTAACAATTCAGTCAATGGAACAGTGGAAATAGAAATAGTGAACATTATCCAAGTAGACATTAAACCATCCAACCTAGCATTTGTTTTCTCTATTTTGGAAAGTAATAGAGATTTCCTTAAACACAAAGACACTCAGTTTCTGTAAAACTTTGGAAATACGCTATGATTAACACACTGCCATTGGATATAACATCCGTATTCAGGAACCTCAAATGCTTTG